GGGAAAAACTATTTAAGGGCTAGATGATAAAAACTATGCGAGAATTAAGTGGGAAAATAATGTGAGGGCCAGATGGAAAAATTAGGTAGTAACTAGATGAGAAAAACTGTATATGGACTAGATGGGAAAAACTAGCTGGTTGTTAGATGGGAGAAATTAGATGGAGGTTAGATGGGAAAAATTAGTTAGTGACTAGCTGATAAAAATTAGCTAGTGGCTTTGCTTCGCATAAATCCAAGCAGCGATACAGTCATCCAGACCCTTTATCAGTTAAGTTTACAATTGGCACGCAAGGTAATTCAGAAACTATTCATCCATTGAGTTTTGCCTGTGCACACATTTCGTTAAATACTTTCCTCATAAATCGAGTCTCTTTTTGCATTGTATTGTTTGTATTGTTTACGTATATAATCTTAAATGCATGGTCAATCTGCAAAAATAGATATTTTCGTTTTTTATGTGTTGCCATTTTTACATTTTCGCATTATTTACTTTAAAAATAGGTTCATTAATTGAGGTACACTTCAAGAAAAATCATATCTCAAAGAATAATCTATTTGGTTAATATTATTAATAAATTTTATTAATAATTAAAATTAATAATTTTTTGTTTTAGGTGAATGCAAGCAGCGTTACTTTGCACGCCAACCACTTATGTGTGGAGTTTGAAATTAGCGTGCAAAATAACTCAAAAACTATTAATCCGATTGAATTCTCGTTGTGCGTACATTTAGATAAATACTTTCGTCATAACTTGAACATTATTGCGATTGTATTGTTTATATAAATAATTCTTATGCATAATTGACATGTGAAAATCGATATTTTCGTGTCTTTTACGTGTCGCCACTTTTACAATTTCGTATTATTCTCTTTAAAAATAAATTCAATTAATATTCTAAACTTCACAAAAAAGAAATCCATATTGTTTTTTTGATTCATCAGATGAATACAAGCAGCACTATTGCACGCCGATCTTTAGATGGGGCAGTTTAAAATTGGCGTGCGAGATAATTCAAAAACTATTAATCTGATTGAGTTTTGTGCATTATTTAAATGAATAGTTTCTTCATAAATTGATCTTTATTTGCAATTGTATTGCAATTGTATATACAGATGTATCTTATGAATTTTATTTGTTACAATAACAGATTGTTGCAATGAATTAACTATACATATTACAAAATAATATGCAAATTAAAAAATTTAAATCGGTGAAGTGTAAAGTAAAAGAGCGAATTTCAAGAAAGAAAGCTCCTTAGGAGTAGGCAACCCTTCCACAGTCAAACAAGGCAGTACCCATCGGACAGATTATTATTTGCAAAATATATTATAAATTACGCTTCAAAGAAATAAATGTCGATCGATAAATACGAATCATCACAATTTACATAATATAATTTAATTTAATATAATTTTAATTTAAATTATATTCCAAGAACAATTTACAGATTGAAAATGCTTATTAATTCTTATAATATAATTAGAGTATTTAGCTAAAATTAATTTCTTAATGAAATTTTAAAATTGTTTAAATATATCAAATATACAAATTTTATAATACTTTGTACTTGTTTTTATTATTACAGTTGCAAGATTTCCTGATGCTTATACGCCAAAGTCATTCAGTAGTAGTGCATGTTATAAATTTGTTATAAATTTATTCCGTAAATTTAGCATGAATATGCACTATTTTTGTTTGTGAGACACGATTTTATCAGCAATGTCAGAAAATAGATTTATAGTTTCAAGCTCAATTATAGACGTGATGGCAGTAGTGTACGGCGATTTCAACATATTAGAAGAGGCCGGCATGATCGCACTCAGGCTTCTCATTGATGTTGCCGACTATGGATTTGTAGTAGAATTCGAAAATGGCAAATCGTACGGTAAAGGATGCCAAATCTATCCGCGGAACAAATCCGCAGTATTTGGTCGAGAAGATTATCAGATCTCGGATATACGATTCTAAATACTGGAAAGAGGAATGTTTTGCCTTGACGGCCGAGCTGTTGGTTGACAAGGCAATGGAATTGAGGTTAGCAAAAGCAAAATATAACCTCTAGGCAGTGATTTCTTTTCGTCGATAATTTATTCTTCTCACATAAATATCATTTTTTGAAAATCAATGTTACTAATACATAAGAATATTTTTTAGTTAATTATATTTTATATATTCTTACCTTTATATATCATACTTTTTCAGATTTATCGGAGGAGTGTATGGTGGCAATGTGAAACCTACACCATTCCTCTGTCTCATATTAAAAATGCTTCAAATACAGCCTGAGAAAGACATTATAGTCGAATTTATAAAAAATGAAGAGTTCAAATATGTTCGAGCCTTGGGTGCATTGTACATGAGACTGACTGGTTCTTCTTTGGACTGTTACAAATATCTTGAACCATTATTTAACGATAACAGAAAACTCAGAATGCAAAACAAACAGGGCGTATTCGAGCTCATACATATGGACGAATTCATCGATAATCTTCTGAGAGATGAAAGATGTTGTGATGTTATTTTACCAAGGATTCAAAAGAGACATGTTTTAGAAGAAAATAACGAGCTAGGTATATTATCAAATTATTTCCTTAAATTGGTATTAGTTTTAACCATCCTTCTATTATATCTTTTTTTATGTATATAGAAGCGAAGATATCAGCATTAGAAGACGACATGGACGATGGTATTGAATCATCAGAGGAAGAAGAGATACTTCCAGTTAAGGAAGTGCCACGCAAGAGGCCAGATGACCATGAACGGGACAGAGATCGTCATAGAGATAGGGATAAGAGGCATTCCCGATCTGAGAAGAAATCCGAGAAGGAAAAGCAGAGATCGAGAAGCAGAGAGAGAGACAGAGATAGAGACAGAAGAGAACGCAAACGCAGTAAATCGCCAAAATCTCACTCATCATCGCACAAAGATAAGGACAGAGATAGGGATCGTCATAGAAGAGAAGACAGGGAAAGAGAAAGAGAACGAGAGAGAGATAGAGAGCGAGATCGAAGAAGAGAACGCGAGAGAAATAGGCATTAAAGTATGGTAAATATGGACAAAATTGTTTGGATAAATTTATATAAACTCAGAAATTAACTAATAATCTTTCTTTAATTTTTCTTGTAACAATGTTTGTATGTTCTTAGCGCCGGTATGTGACATTTACAAGAAATCGGTATTAAAATTACAACATACATTCATTGTAACTTATTCAAATATATGTACATTTTCACATTATTTGTATTATATTACAATTGCTTTATTAAATAAAAAAATAGCGATATCATTACTGATGCATAATAATGGACGAATAATAACTATATTTTTATTCTGAGAAATTTACTATGATAACGTTTTGCTTTGGAATCCTTGCAATGCAATCTTATATACTCTTAAAATTTGGTCGACAAATATTCCTATCCATATTCTCTATGTGTTCTATAAAAACAGAAAACTTGATAATGTTTAAAACGTAGGCGAATTCAGAATGAATAACCTTTCTTCTTCTTTCTTTATCCACTTCAATAGCTTGCTCACTGCCTCAATGGCATCTGGTTTTGTTACCAGAGGTTCAAATGTTACATATAATTCAAAACCAGAAGCCACCTAGTAATAATTTATATTTTTAAAGAAAAAAAATCTCAATCAAACACATCTAAATTTTTTTACTTACCCATGCTAGCATTGTTTCCTTATCTAGTTGCTGAAATATAAGTTTTAAGGGTCGACTAGGAGAATGCAATCTATGATGCAAACATTGATAGACACCCAATAATCTGAAAAAAAAATTTTTTTAATATAAATATTATGTTGCTTATTAAAAAAAAGTTCATATTTTACCGTTCTATTTCTTCGTCCGTTGTATAAGGTGGTTGAAGCCCGGGACTCCAAAATTGCGCGGTACTTTTGCATTTGTATAGAACATGTCGCATCTCAGGCAACCCAATGTCGGCAGTAGTTACCGTCGGTTTATTCATAGATTCGTTTATCGCTTCTAAACAATTTGTCCGTCGCAATTTCTCCACAATTTTCTATCAAATCATTTTCAATAAATTTATAATACTCATATAAATAATTTAGTTTTTAGTTATGCAATCAGTTTTATTTTCTGCGATAACTTACTTGTTTGGCCTCCGATAACACGAAAAATACATCCCTATCAACAGTAAGTAATAATAAACAGGCTTGGCAATCTTCTGCCAGATATGACACATGACCATGCATGTATCCATTGGAATCAAATTTCGGTAGACATATCGGAGTCCAGCTTTCAGCAGTTTTGAGTGACTCGGAACTGTCCACCAGATTTTGGATTATATGCAGATCCATTGGATGTAGAAAAAATTTGTTCATTCTAACTAGTGTAACCAATTGATTATTGGCTAGAAGTATGGCAAATACTAAATTCTGAAAAATACATCTTTTTTAATATTACATTACATTTTTTAATATTACATTTAATCTCAATCTGATTTGACGAATACATGCATATTCTATTTATAAATGCTCTGTACCTTGATTTTAGCACAAGTTTGGATGATAGTCTGTGTAATAGAACTTCTCATAGAAGGAAGCAAGGGCAAACATTTAATAGCTCCTAGAAAAAAAGCAGGCTCTCTGTCCATAAAATTCAATAAATGATCTATCAGTCTTTCACTGCCACTTAATAATCTTCTTAGATCAAAATTTCTCCTTTGATCATATACTCTATTTAGTTGAGATTGTGTTAATACAGAGATTATCTGATTATATACATATCTGTAATAAAATATATATTGTATAAATATTGTATGTATATTGTCAAAACAAAAGGATATTATTTAGAACACATACGTTAATTGTAAAGTGAGCTGAGGTACACTTTCCAAAGTTTTGGACACTGCCACTAAAATCAATGGACCCTTTACTACAAAGACGAAATTTGTATCACCCGCGTGCACTGATCTGATCATATCACTACCAGCTTGAACAAACGACACTAAAGCTTGCATAACACCCATAACTGTGACTAGTTTGTCTTCTGAACTATATCTAGAGTATATGGGTTTCCCTGCCTGACTCAAGATAAAAATGTGCTTCTTCTGCGCCAGCCATGCTTTGCAACGCAATGGGTCTCCGTCTATGTTACTTTGGCCCAAACGATGCGCGACCTCGTCCTAAGATGTAATAAATAAGTCAGTCACGTTCAAGATATTCAGATAATATCTGATATTCAAGATGTACCGCAAAATTATTAAGAATAGAGGAGATTCTAAAAAGAAAAAAGAAAAACCAAAACTTAACCATTTCCCCGTCATCTAGAGAAAGGGTTTTCTCAGATTCTCGCGGACTGGCGGCGGTAGGTGTCGTGGGAATGTCTTGTGCAACGTCTTCCTGGATTTCGGAGATGGTGCTGGTGGTGCTCTCTTTCATTTGCCTGTCACCATCGATGCTACTGCTCATCTCCTGCTCGTACTCGTCGAAGCTGTCAGTAGTGACAAGCATCGTTTCCGTGGAGGCGCCGGGCTCGATCCCGGGCTCGGCTATGCCACTGTCGATTGACTCGACGACGATCGGCTCCTTCGCGGCCATATGTATATTCAAGAACGTCACCGATCAGTCGCTATTCGACAACTCTCGTTGGCGTTTGACATTTAACAGACTGATACAGATCGACTGCCATTACTCGTTAACTCGCCGTAGGACTGCTAGGTGCGCTGTTGAGGAGTTTATCAATGTAAAGATTCTTTTTTCCTTTTTTTTAAATTCTTCACGTAAGCTACATTCGAAAATTACATATATATATTTTTTCCTCTGTCTTGATAAATTATTAATTTTAAATCTGTAATAATTTTAAAAACGAAGTTAAAATTAAAAAAAAATCGATTATTCGTAAAATCACAGTGTGTACCTCAGAAATTATACCTAAGAAATGATAAACAAGTGATTTGCTATTCTCATGGAAATATAAAATATAAATTATAAAAAGAGAAAGGAAGAGAAAAGGAAGAAATATATATAATAACAAGATAATGATATATGCGCGAGAATAAAATAAAAAAGAATTTTTAAATATCAATATGGAATGTCACGTGACCAACACATAAAAATCAAAGGTATTTCAGGTAATCTGGAATATCTATATATTGATTGTATTATGCTTCAGCAATATTATCCGAATTCTACATGAAATAATCGGGTGAAGCTTGAGAGAGAGAGAGAGAGCAAGGCCGTAAGGTGATAATCTAGTCTAACCTAACCTTGCCGGTGTGGCGCACCGGCCTGAAGTTGTTTCAAATTGCGCGCGGGGACAGTAGGCGCGACAAGTGTTCGCCGGGTGGTTGTAGCGCACGTTTTTTCTTTCGGCATTCGCGTTGGACGTCGATACGATTGACAAGAATGGGTGTCACCGTGTAAGTAACACGATGCGTTTCTACAAACTCATAGAACTCTTCGTCGAATCGTGATTTGTCATACGACGAGTCGTCTCTCTCCGGCGGCGCGCGTATAGGTTATGTCGCACGTGTCGCTTTTCGCGAATTCCGCGAGGTGATCGAGAACACTCGTCTGATCCCACGGATAGCAATTAAGTGATTTGCATGCTGTCGGCAGGTTGCAGCAGTATCCGATGATCGAGAATCGAACCGGCCCGCAGACGATCGAGTTTCTCACGAAGAGAGTCGTCGCCCTCGGAGCGGTGCAGGTGGGACAGTTTCTGGTGGATTGCGAGACGTACATGTCGGTGCCGCAGCTTGGTAAGTCACTTTTACAACTTAGCATCTGCAAATTTGAAACTGACAGCAGCTTTCGTGTTTGAGCTGTGGCATCAGCTAGTACACGGTCGCCAGCACAGATGGCCGTTGCTTGTCCGGGATAAACTTTCGAAAACCACCTACGCTTGATTATCATAATTTTTGATAAGATAAAAAATTTGGTAAAGTAAAATAAAAAAAAAGGTCAAAGTAATATCAAGTAAATGTTCTCAAAGAGATTTTCACTAATAAAAACATTTAATTAAGAGAACTTAATGATTAAACATTTTTATTGATGGAAGTCTCTTTAAAAGAATAATCACTTGATATTATTTTGAGATAATAAATTAAGATATAAATTGACTTCAAATTTTTATGAAAAAGATTTGCTGTCTTCGGATATGAAAGATTCGTCTAATCTTTCATAGCTGAGATTTACGCGCATCTAATGTCGTTAAAAAATGTTTGCGAGAGTTCAGGCAATGAATTAACAGACAAACTCGTTTTTTTTTTTCTTTATAATTTGTTTCTTCTTTTGGCGTTTATACATGTGTATATGAGTCTCTATACAAACACGTAAGTGTTGGTTCCGCCGGAAGTATCATTAGCGATTGTATACCGAGTACGTTATTCGTTACTTCTAGAGAGGTGTAAACGCAGACGCTAAGAAAATTACTTAAGTACATATTTATATACGTAACATAAATACACATCGGAAGAGGTGTGTATCTTCCCTCCTAAAGCGAGTCCACCGTCGTCGTTATCGACGGGATCACATTTGTGCTAGCTCGTATTATTTCAATTAATGAACGTAATGGCCGGTCTCTGAAATGAATCAACGAAAACTTCTTGCTTGGTGTTCTCGTTACATCGAAGAGAAAGCGTAGAAGAATCGATATCTATTCGACGATAGAATCCGAGTTCGCATTTGCGCGAGAAACCGACGCCCAGTCTCTTGCGTAGAAGTCTTATTTAATATTACACGCTCCATCGCGTTGCTCAAGTTGATTTTCCTATTGCATAGGAGAGATGCGACCACAGAATGGTACGATCTAATTGTTAACTCTATGAAGGTATACAAATACAGTTATGTATATCTAGGCGTCATTACAAAAATATTAAATCTAGCAAAGCGAAGCTAAACGTTGGACTCGTTATAGACGAGATCGG